TCTTTGCCTGGTTTTGGGGTAAGTGTAATACTGGCTTCATAAAATGTGTTAGGCAGTTTTCCTTCCTTTCTATTTTGTGGAACAACTTAAGGAGGGTTGGTATCAGTTCTTCTTTAAAGGTCTGATAGAATTCAGCAGAGAATCCATCAGGTCCTAGACTTTTCTTTTTCGGGAGACTCTTGATTGCTGCTTCAATTTCATTTTGTGTTATAGATCTATTCAGGTGATTAAGATCCTCTTGGTTCAGTTTTGGATGATCATATGTATCTAGAAATCTGTCCATTTCTTTAAGGTTTTTGAATTTATTTGAATATAGGTTCTCAAAGTAGTCTCTGATGATTTCCTGGACTTCCATGGTGTTTGTTGTTGTTATTTCCCCTTTTGCATTCCTGATTCTACTAATTTCGGTTTTTTCTGTCCTTATTTTAGTCAGGTTTGCCAAGGTCTGTTGATCTTGTTTATTTTTTCAAAGGACCAAGTTTTTGTTTCATTAATTCTTTGTATGGTTTTTTTTGTTTTCTATTTTATTGATTTCAGCTCTTATTTTTATTATTTCTCTCCTATTTGTTTTGGGATTTGCTTGTTCTTGTTTTTCTAGGAGTTTGAGATGTATCATTAGGCCATTGATTTGGGATCTTTCAGTCTTTTTAATATATGCACTCATGGCTATAAACTTTCCTCTCAGGACTGCCTTTGCTGTGTCCCATAGGTTCTGGTAGGTTGTGTTTTCATTTTCATTGACTTCCAGGAACTTTTTAATTTCCTCTTTTATTTCATCAATGACCCACTGTTCATTAAGCAATAAGTTATTCAGTTTCCAGCTGTCTGCATGTTTTTTGTCTTTATTTTTGTTGTTGAGATCTAGTTTTATTGCATTGTGATCAGATAGAATGCATGGTATAATTTCTATTTTCTTATATTTGCTGAGGCTTGCTTTGTGCCCTAGGATATGATCTATTTTGGAGAAGGTTCCATGAGCTGCTGAGAAGAATGTGTATTGTGTAGAAGTTGGATGGAATGTTCTGTAGACATCAACTAGGTCCATTTGATCTATGGTATATTTTAGATCCCTCACCTTATTTCTCATCCAATATCCTATTTTTAGTCCTCAGTGTGTGAAATTTACCTACCTGCAACATCAGTCAAAAATAATTTCCATTGCTGCCTCTTTGCAACTGGCTCACTCATCCTGTCCGTTGTTCTTGGTAAAAAACTATCTGTCCTTTTGGAAGCCCCACTTAATCCTCATGTATCCTCATGGATAATGCTGCCATAGAAGAGGTTTCATTTGGTGAGAATCAAGAAGCCTAGAACTGGGCCTTAATCTCGGGGGTACCGTTAGCTACAGAAGTTTGACAGACCTTTGCTAAGTCTGTTAAGAACTGTCAGGCCAGACCCAGGACCTGTGCTTGGACACAGGCTCTTGCCTACTAGGAAAGACATCACTAGTGTTATGCTCCATTTTTTATGTTTGAAAGAGAACTATAGATACCCTTGATCTCTAATTGCCTGCCATATAATAAAGGTGAGCTATGTACAGATAAACCTTACTTAGATTTACTTTTGGGGTATCACAGTCATGAGACCAAAAAGGTGCTGCTCAAAATTACATAATCAATTTGAATTTAATTTTCTCATTATATGAAACTCAGGAGGCAGGAGGATACTCAGCAGATTATTGAATATGCTCCAGAGCAGTAATTTTATATACAGACACCACAAGAGAGTTTGCCACAAGAGAGTGACTCAGATCCTAAGAGATGCACTGTTTGGGCACAGAAACCAACCAAGAACAGCAAAGTTTGAGCAAGAATCATCTATTACATTAAAAAAACAACTGAACAAATAATAACCTACTTCTCCAAAGGAATTTTGGAGGGTCAATACTTTACAAGACTCAAAAGAATAGGACCCCTTAAAGTTCCCCTTGCACTCATGGAAACAGTCTATGAACAGAACCATTCTCTAAGTTAGGCTGCTTCTAGAAACCAGCAGGAGAGCGAGAGCCCATGGTACACATGCATTCCCATGACGATGTGTCACAAAAGTAATAACAGAGCTGTGCAATTGCTTCCAGACCTGAGTTTGACTTGCTTCACTGCTCATTTTTATGATAGAAAACCTACTCCAAACCTGTGGTCTCTTGCATTTTCTCCAGTCCTGTCTCTCAGTAGGGGGCAAGGATTCCACACCTCTAATAGCTTCTCGGAGTGTCCCCAGGGATTCTAGCCCTGGTTTTGTCTCAGCCACTTCTTCAACTGCACCCCTAGGCCCCCTCTACAGACAGACCACAACCACACGATCCCCTTCTAGTACATGCTGCAGGGGGAAGGTGTGAGAAGAACCATGGGGAATGTTGAGGTCAGCGGCTTGTGAGCCTGAGTCAGCATCCTCAGGAGCAGAGTGGTTGGGAAATAGTCCTCTCTTTCACGAAAACCCCAACTGGAACAGCAACTAAAGCACTCAAACCAAGGTGCACATTTCCAGAGTAGGAGCCCATGCTGACCACGGGTGCCTAAGAACCCACCAGTTCACAGCTGCCTGTGGAAGGAGCCAGAGGGTCTGAAAGACGAGGAAGTGTAACACTGTGAGGAACGAGTGTATCATCAAGTACTGCCTGAAGCTGGGCTCAGTTTTAAGTCCTTCTTAAATTGACAAACACAACAATGACCTCATTATAGAAACTATTTTCTCCTGGAAGACTTGGATAGCTTCAAGTTTCAACTAGTCATGGCTTTTAAAGTAAAAGGGTAGAAGATTCCAGTTTGAGGTACAATGAAAACAGAGCCAAAGTGTTCTAATCACTGACTTACCAGAGCAAGTCAACTTCAAGTGCTCTCTCTGGATATAATATTACAGAGGAGAAAAAAGAGCAAGGTACAAAATAATATGCAGACACACATGCTAACTTAGAAAAGGGTTTAAAAGAAAAGACACTAACCTCTTAAAATGTGAGTGATGAAATTAAGGATGATTTAAAGTATTTCTTTCTACCTTTCAGAACATTCTAGACCTAACAAAAATCCTCTAGCTGTCTGGAAAGGTCTTTCTCTTGACTGAGCACACAGCTTTCAGGGGCATGCATGTCAAACAGTGAAGGAGAAAAGAGCCCTTCAACTGGTTTGCCAAATGGTTCCCATCAATCCTCCTCACCAAGGAGAGAGACAGCACTGACTGACCACACATCCATCAACCTCCCTATATTTCTCAAGTTTTCTTTAATGAATGACATAGCTTTTCCAGCGGTAGCGGGAGACATTCCATCTCTTCAATCCAGGGAAGCTGGTGGGCTGGAGCATCATTCAACTGGGAGTCTCCAGGGCCTGGCAGCCCTTTGGTTTCTCAATCCCATGATCTTAGTCTCCTGATGCCATAGGGTTGTACAGGTAAAGGGAAAAGAGCACCTGGGGGCTTTTGGATGCAGAGTCTGGCAGAATGCTGAAATAGAAGATTAACTCAAACTGTGAGTTCTGGTGGTTGAATAAAATAATGCATGCTCACTCAGCTTCAGAATCTTACTTTTTCCACAATGACAAGTTTTCCCTTCAGAGGGTGATGCACACCTACTTTACCAATCACCCTGCACCTCCAAGGCTCTGTGTGCTGTTTAGGCTCTTCATCTATGTCTTCTCCTTTCATCCACAAAGTGACACAGAGATAAGTGGCGTTGGAACACTTTTAGAGATGGGAAAACCAAGAAAGATGACCAAAGCCTTAGGCTGATAAGCAGGGATGGAATTTGCATAGGCAAATCTGCTTCCCGGTAACATGGGGCAAAAACATTTCCAAGGGTTATTTCTGGCTGCTATAGGGAAAGGGGGACAGATCTGGGATATTTACTAATAACGCATAAAGAAAAGTAGTAGCCAGGTGTGGTAGAGCACACCTATGATGGCACTCAGGAGGACTGTCATTTGGAGGCCAGCCTGGGTTACATAGGAGACCCTATCTCTAAAGAGCAAACAAACAGGAAGGGAAGAGAAGGAAGGAGAAAAGAAAAGAAGAGAACTGCCCAAAAAAGTCTATTACCAACATAGCCAGGCTTTGTGGAGCTTTTATTGTGGTAAGGGAAATGGAAATCCCATCCCGCCATGCTGGCAAAGCCCAGGGATTTGCAGGTGAAGGGTGGCACCACCTGCGCACTGGGCATTACACTGCTCCCTTAGGGAGTGTGGTACTGACTTACCTAGGGCAAGCCCTCCTTTTGTGCCAGGCAATATGCTAGATGCTTCACTCATGCTCTCTCATTTCTCCAACAACTCTATACTCAAAGTCCCACGGCAGCAGTGATGTTAGGGAGTGAGGCCCAGGCCTGCCTGCCTGCTCCTGAGCCCACACTTGTTCTGCTAACCCAGACAGAGCCATCCAATCTATCATCACTCTGATGCAGAAAGGCTCGATTCCTGTTGCAATGTTTGGCACATGGAACCCTCATTTTTCCACTACCTTACTCTATGACATTCACGTGTCCTGCACTTTCCAGGGCGATGCTGACTGAACACTATGGCTCCACCGCACCCTTGGGTGTACTCAAACTTGTCTTTTGTGAGGTCTGCTCCAGGAAGCCTCCCCTGCTCACCCACACCCATGCAACCCTAGCACTTATTTCTTCCATGCAAGGAAGGGTAATCCTCCTGTGATAACACTGTCACACGTGCCTGCCTTGGCTTCCTCTGTACCTCACTGCCTGTTTTATCTTCTGGCTGAACCTTACTTATCAGGTATGGTATGTAGACAAGTCCTGTGTCAACTGGGCAGTTAGCTGCATGACCCCCCACAGGCTGCCTCCAACAGAGTCTGCCCTACATGGCAGGGTCTTCTACATTAGTATTCCACGTAGCCTCTGTGCCACTGTTAGGCAAGGTTTGTCCAAGTTTTTCTCCCAGGACAGCTGTGGTGGTGACCATTCCACCACCACTGGAGGAAAGGCGAGCTTTGGGAGGTCTGAATGGCACCCAAGCATGGGTCTGACTCAGCAAACGTGCTGGCCAGGAGCCTACCTGAGCAGAGGACGCCCTTGTTTCTGGCACAGGAGAAGCTGTCACACTCGCAGAACGGCCCGTAGATCCTCCCGAACTCGCTCTCGAAGCAGGAGCACTGGTTGCAGCTACATTCGCCACGCCCGCTGCACAGGGGCTTGCCCTCTGCCTCTCGGCACAGGTTCTGGTACCCACTCTGGTTCTCCCCTTCCTGGCACTCACACTTAGTGCCCAGATAGCTGGGGTTACACTCACACAGGCCACAGATGTAAGTTCCGTTCCCGCTGCATCGGGGGCTGTCAGGCTCCAGCCCTATACTGCAGCCACATGTGCAGTCATAGGTGACCCCCACCTGTAGGCTATCCCGGAACCCCACAGGTCGGAGGGTGAACATGTGCTCCACATGTCTGTTGGGGCAGCTCCGGGCCTCCACTGACACCTCAAAGGATGCCTAGGCAGAAGGAAGAGAGGGGACATATGGTCATGGCAAGCTGGGACCTCCCAACCACCCAGGGGTACAGCCAAGCCAAGCATACTTCCTGTGAGGCCCTGCCCCTCCAGCATGCAGGTAGACCCCCTGCAGAGGCTGGAAGGTGAGGGGAGGAAGAGACTGCTGAATCAGCAAGTCCCATATTTTAGGAAAGCAAAGCATACTAAGGTGTGCTAATGCCAGACACACATTGCTGTTGGCTTTTTTTCATTTTTTGGTTGTACTGGGGCTTGAACTCAGGGCCTTGCACTTGCTAGACAGGTGCTCTACCACTTGAACCATACCCCCAGCCCTTTGTGCTTTAGTTTATTTTCAGATAGGATCTTGAGTTTTTGTTCAGGCTGATCTTGGACTATGATCCTCCCATATCCACCTCCCTCTTTAGCTGGTATTACAAGTGTGTACCACCATGGCTGGCCCACTCTTGTTCTTTAATGTTCGTTATCTCTTATTAGTCTCATAACCCTCTCCTGAGGGACTTTGAAGAAAGGCATGAGGAGCTATACAAAGTTCTTGTTCTCCCCTTTCTTTTCACTTCTATCCTGTCCTCTTCCCACCTCTATTGCAGTACATCTCTCCCTTTCAATTTTAAGTCAGTCATCAAAAAAAAAAATGCCATGTATCTGCACAGTGTAGGAGAAGGGTTTCAAGATGAAATCTGGGGGTAGGGAGACACAAATATTCAGCACATTGACAATGCTCTTAGAATAAAGTCCAGAACTATGGCCAGGCATGGTTAGACCTAGCTATTCCTAGTATTTAAAAAAAGAACAAAAGCTGGGCATGGTGGAGTTCATCCGTAATCCCAGCACTTTTTAGAATGAGGCAGAATGATTGATAGTTCAAGGTCAGCCCAGGCTAAAGAGTTCCAGACAAGCCTGGGCTACATAGCAAGACCCTGTCTCAAAAATACAAATAATCAAAACACATCATTCATCCAACCAACATTTACTGGGCACTGTCTGTGCCAGGCATGGTGCAGGGTTCTGGTGGGACCACCCGGCATGAGGTGAGAAGGTTGCAAGCACCTATCTGCTCTCTATGGAGAGGCTTCCTTCCCTGCCAGAGAAAGGACAGACTGACACATAAACCCCATCTCCCACAGCCCGTGCTCCAGTTTCTCCTCTGGGAGTGTTCTCCACAGCTGCATCTTGCCCAATCAGCCCATGGCCCTGATGCCTTTAAAGGAGAGTCACTGTCTAAAGAAAACATGTCACACTCGTGGACACTTTCTTTTAAAACAAAACATGTAGGGAAGTGCTTCCAACTGTGGAGCTTCTCTTGGGTTGCCTTGAAAACTAGCAGCAAGGTGAACCTAGCAGGATGACAGATGGCAGAGCTAGAGGGATGTCCGTCAGCTGCCCATCTGGCTAGAGAGGACAGGAAGCAGGGAAGAGGCGCACTCTGATTCTTCCTGGAACTAGAGCACAGCTCTAGTAAATTTCATGGAAATCCAGATAGGTGGCTGGTATGTGCTAATGCCACCTCATTGAGAAGCACTTCTTCCCGATCTTAAACAGACAGGTCTAGCCACTCCACCAACTGACCCATCACAGCTGGGCCCAGGTATCTTTATTTCCAAAATGGCTCCTCACATCATTCTGAAGTTCTTAAAAGGAGCCCTTGTTAGCTATTACTATTCTTAATTCTATTGTTTGGGATGGAAAAACTGATCTTAAAAAGACACCACTAATCTGTATTAATAGGCACTCTTTAGGTAAAAATATTATTTTTTGAGAATACTGGAAATATTTGTTGCCAAATGTTCCATAGATCTATATCACTCTGAGATCTTATAAAATGTCTCTTCTCAGATTCTGTGACATCTGGGGTCTGAGCAGGGCAGTCCCAGTTCCTCTGGGACTCTCTGGATCCCAGAGGAAGTCCTGATTGGCAGTAAACCATTGTCCTAGAGGTCTCGACAACAGCCACCCAGAGCTCAGCACTGGCCAAGACACTTAACATGAGGTGCTTTTGACAGGTAAGCAGAGGACAAAGGCCAGGAGACAGTGGGAGGACCAAGTCAGGTGCAGACAGTTTGGGCTAGCCCACCTTACCTGACATCTCCACATGGGGTGGGAAGGGTGAGGCAAAGGGGAGAGATTGGGAAAAACAAGTTCAAGGCTGAGTTCCAAAGCCCCAAGGTCCAGAGAGGAGGCTCAAGGTAAAGAAACAAGATGGGAATCTACCTGGGGTTTAATACCTGTTAATGACATTTCTGGTTAGCACCTGCCAAGTGCCTATGAAGCACTAGCATTGTACTGGTCCACAGCTTCTCGTTCACATGCTCCAGAAGAAAGCACCCTCATTTCCCCAGGGAGACAAGGGGTTGAAAGGATTCTGAGCTTGGCTATGGCTATACAGCAGGTTGGGACTGGGCTGGCTAGAGGTGGGCCTCTACTTTCCTTAGCATATCACATCCTAGAAGGGGACAGGAGAGGATGCTTATGTTCAAATCTGGGTACAGAAGGAGTGTCAGTCAACCTTATTATAGGGACAACTTGGTGGTGCCCCCAAAGTGGTAGTCAGAGGCTTCACTAAAGCTTTCTGCTTGGGCTGGGAATGATGTGAGCCAAAGATGGGAGGGGGAATGGGGACTGAGCCTGACCAAAGCCATCCATACAACCTTCAAGAATGCAGAAGGGTATACCCCAGTACAATAATATGATTAAAAAAAAAAAAGCCAAATACCTTTCTTTGAAAAAAAAAAGAATGCAGAAGAGAACAGAGCCTACAAAGGGCTGATGTCATTCCTCCCCAAGACCCAGAGAGAAACAGTGATTTGCTTGAAGCTGCTACTTCCTAGGGATACAAATTGTTGGACTTGTTAAATAAACAGCCTCTCTTCCACAAAGGCATCTGCAGGTCAGAAATACAATAAACTACAAAGGAATGAGCTGGACCAAGAGCCAAAGACATTTAATTACTGACAGACTATGAGGAGTGTCCATCTGTGAACAAAACCTTCCCTAGGCAAACTGGCCTGTATCAAGGGAGAAAGTAAGAAGAGTTGAATCTCCTGAGGCCTGCCAATCTGTTGTGTTTGCTGGGCAAAGTGGAGGTGCTGGGGAGCCTCCAAACTGGTGCTGGCACCTACATCACCAGGGTGCAGAAACTCTCACTGTCTGCCTGGCTGCCAGGCAAGGGGGTATGGCTTCCAACTAGATCCCCTGGGCCTCCTCAGCCAAGGGCTTCAATAGCGGAGGAACTATCTGTCTGACCCCATGCAGCCTGCCTGCAGCTGGCTGTCTGATAACCAGAGAGAGGCTCTGTTGATTTCAGCCACTAAGTCTCAACCCCTGCTGGACACAGGAATGCTGAAAAAAAAGCATGTTGGGAGCAGCAAGTAAGTCTGTTTGCTTGCCCCTCCTTTCAGTCTGCGTTCCCTACTGGATTAGGAAATAATCCAGAGAGGCTAGAAGGCATCTGGAATGCAGCTTCTTTGCTTGTCTGTCCTGGTGACAGAAGATTCCAGCACACTACTGATACCAAGAGCTCCCCAGTTCCTGGACACTTTCCAGTCTCCCACTCCAAGATTCCAGAGGCAGGTCACAAACACAGCAGCCATCCTGCCCAGACTTGTGATTTAACCTCATTGGGATGCTCCTGGTTCCCCCACAGGGCTGCTGGCCTGGCCCACCCTTTCAAAAGGGCTGCCCAGCCCCCACCCAAACCCACCAACCCCAAAGCTATGTAGATGCCAAGTCCACTCAGATCCCAATGAAACACAGGAGCACAGGATACAGAGCCCAGAGAAGTGGACAGGAGGGGTTGCCGTGGGAAGGCCATGACAGGGGCTCTTTGTGCTGGGCATTAGTGCTAGCTGCTCAGCCAGCCACTTGCATACTGATTTGTCAAAGCCAGTTAACAAGAACACGACTCCCAGTGGCTGGGTGCACTCGGTCAGCCTTTAAATTAGTGTTAGGAGTAGAGCAGGAAATTAGAGCAACACCTAAAACCCTGAAGAAGAGCTCCTCATTGGAACTGGGTTTCAGGGTTAAGATTAAGGGAAGGCTCTTCTTTGAGGACATCGTTGTCTTGCACCCCTGCCTCCTCTCTGGCTTCTTGCTGGACGCGTCTTAACCCAGAGAACACAGACTGGCCACCAAACTACCACTTCTGGTTGAAGTGATCATAGCTGCTGCCTGTTTCTCTATTACTTCTGCAGGAAGCTGTAATTATAAGGAAGTGAGATATCCACTTAACCCAGCTGTCCCAAGGCTGCCTCCTCCACTGGCCACATCCTTGTCTCATCCATCCCCAGGCCTGACTTGGAGGTACCTGCTGACAAGTGAACCCTGTCTGCTCTTCATAACTACTCTTCTCCAGGAATGGTTAACCCCTCACCATTCCCTGACCTCTCCTTAGCCCTCCTAACTCAAGGCACCCAGCATGGAACCCACCTGCCAGAACTGCCAGACCCTTACCTTACTTAGCATATATGTCCTACCAGTGTGGCTTGGACCAACCATTCTCCCCTCAGTTCCCAACCCTCTGTAGCCGCTTTGCTTCTTCACATCCCAGCAGACTCGCCTCGCTGCTTTGCCCATGCTATGCCCACCAATGGGAGCACCCCACCCCTCTTGAATGTCTCAGCTGGAACAGCATCCCCCTGCGATGTCAGATCCTTCTTCCTTGGGGCTCCTACGGCACCATGCCATCTTTGTCACAGCACTGGTCACTCCTATATGGGATGGATTTATTTGCATGATTACTTTGACTCCAGACTCTGAGCCCTTGCTTGTCTGGCTCACATCCTAGGTAAGCACAGTATTTGACACATAGACTTTCACTGAACAAGAGTGGATTTCAGCACAGTGACTAGTGAGTTCTGAAATGTATGTCCTTGGACACATGTCCACAGAGACATACCCACATGCTCACTCAGTAGCATAGCTGGTTGAAAGTCCAACTGTAAATTCTTAGAGAAGGACAGCTCAGCCCAGAAGGAAAGAGAGAGAGTTTGCCTTCTGGGCCACTTAAGAAAATCACACTAATCCCAGCTGAAAGAGCACCCCATCTCAGGGCTGGAGAAAGTGACAAACCCCTTTCTTTCAGCATAAGCTTGCTCACTGAGTCATGGAATCCTACTCAGAAGGGCCTGAGCTATCTTAATGCTGTCTTAAAATTATTAGCAATTTTTCAACATGGACTCTACATTTTCATTTTGCACTGGGACTCACAGACTATGTAGTCAGCTTTCTCCCCCACCCCCCAATACTGCCTCCAAGGCTCTGAGGGAGCTCAGCCCTCATGGTCCGCGTAGATCGGCCTGGCCCTTGTAAGCAGCATCACATCCGGTTCAGACAAGCAGAGTGGCTGCTGCTCTGTGCCAGCCTGTCTTCATCCACAGAAAACAAAAACCCCACAGCCTTTGCTGCAGAGCCAGGGGGCCATGTGACCGTGGCCCTTGGACAGCGACAATACTGGGATAGTGAGAAGACACAAAGGCCAGCACGGAGGCTTGCCTCAGGGCCCCCTGCTGTATCTGCAGGGCCACAGTCATTGGATCCCAAAGAGGAACTGGCAAAGGGAACTGGTGTAGGGAAACAGTCTGCTTCTTTATTATTGCTTCAAATGCTCTGAAAACTATCTCAGTACAGCAGAGAGACTGCTCACTGTTGCAAAAAAAAAGTTACTTAAAATCTTCTTTGATTTCTGAACAATGTCTATTTTTCTGAGGTATCCTAGCAAAAAACAAAAGCTGTACACTAGCGTGTCTGTGCCTAAGTGGCAATGATGTCCCCATATGCCTCCTTGCACAGCGCAGGAAACCTTAGGGGAAGGTCTGGGTTGTGGCATTGGTGGTCTCTGATTTGAGTCCTGGTCTCTGCAGCTCACTGGCAGTGGAACCTCTGGCCAGTTTCTCAGGCTCCTCTTTGAGCCTCAGTTTTTCACACATTAAAATGGGGACGTATGGTTACCTTACAGAAAAAGCAGCAAAGCCCCTACCGGGTACACTGCAGTTCCTGTAAGTGGTGACTAGTGACTCCCCATGACAAGGAGGCTGTGGTCAGTGAGATGACTCAGTCTTGGTTGGGGTTGTGGGTCCACCACGTAATAGCTGGGTGGGCTTGGGCAGGTCACCCTGTCCCCATATGTCAGGCTGTGCACCAGCAATGAGTATGCACTCTGTTCCCAGCAAAGCCAACAGCTGTGTGAAATGAGTAGAACATGGGCACAGAGGCACTCAGTAAACTGCTTCTGTTGCTTTGATTTCTGTTCTTTGAAATAGGTTTGGCAGAACAGAATCATGAGCATCAAGAGGCTGAATGGAGATGGTATGGATGCTAGAAAGACCTGGATCCAAACCTTCACTTCACTACTTATAGTTGTGCAGTCTTTGGCAATTAAATTCTGCAAGTCCTAGTTTCTCTCATCCACCAACATGGATAAGTGGGTGGGGAACACAGAACTACTCATTGTCTACTTTTGTTTCTATTCCTTCTTGGGACTAATGTTATTTCCCTTTGGGTTCTATGAGGGATGCCAATATTCTTACAATGATTTTCCTGTGTTTGCTTAAGGTGGCAAAACGGATTCAGTTCCTTGGTTCCAAGAATTCTGTTCTAACTTTATGGTGTCATTATGGTGTCAACAAACACCATAATGTTTTATTCTAGGTTTCCATCCAGTTCATCATGATGGCTGCTTGTCACTCCTTTTTTAGAGAGACTGCACAGAGGTTAGGCACTGGTGGCTCCTCCTTGTAATCCTAGCTACGTGAGAGGTGAGATTGGGAGGATTGCAGTTGGAGGCCAGCCCAGATAAACAGTTTGTGAGACCCCCATCTCTAAAACAAGTAGAACAAAATGGACTGGGATGTGGCACAAGTGGTGGAGCACCTGCTTGTAAGCACAAAGCCCTCAGTTCAACCACAGTCCCATAAAAAAAAAAAAAAAAAAAAGACTTCACAGCATGAAGTAGCATGCAGTTCAAACTGCACAAAGACTGGCACCGTCACCTCTGGGGTTTCAAAAACACTTTCTGTTAATGCAGCCATAGTTGGCAATGCCTCTTTATTTTTTGCTTCTTTGTTGTCCACATCAGCCTGCTAGGTAGTGGCTAGCCTCGAACTCTTGATCCTCCTCCTCCACTTCTAAAGTGCCTTTTAAATTTTTTTTAAGTGACACTATTTATGCACCTTGAACCTTTGAGCCATTAGAGTCTGGCATCTTTTTTTTCCACATTCCTATCAGGCCACATTCCCTCTATCCAATTAATATTCTGAACTAAATATAAGACATTAGTCATGATTTCAATCTGGCTCAGTTTCAAAAAATATTTTTAAGCCAGGTATGATGCCTGTAATCCCAGCTCTTGGAAGGCAGAGATTGGGAGGATTGCACTTCGAAGCAAGCCCAGGCAAAAAGTTAGAGAGAACCCCATCTCAAGCAAATGGACTGGGGGCATTGGTCAAGTGGTAGAGCACTTGTCTAGCAAACACAAGACCCTGTGGTTCAAACTCCAGTACTGTATATATAATATGTGTATAATCTTGGTTTTCCTGTTTTATAAATAAGCTGTTTTCTCCAGTTGTGCTACCTTCCCACATTTGATAAGCAGGTCTTCAGTGAGCTCACCCCAAGCCAACAGAACACACAAACAGACAAGAGGCATCTGGAATCTCGGTCTGGTCCTTCCTCATAGAAAGCAGCTTACTCAGCTACAAATCTGCCTGACAGTGCTGTCATCAACCCACACTGTTTGCCGTACATAGGACATCATTAGGGACTGTCAAGAGCATTTGTGTAACCAGGGCATGTTGTGTGTGCACAACCTCTCTCTTGCTGTAACTCTCCTCCAATCAAAGGCCACCTCTTGGTTTGGCACCACAGCTACAACAACTTTGTTTTTTGAAGATATGATCTCACTGTGTACCCAAGCTGGCCTTGAACTCACAAGCGCTGCCTCTACCTCCTGAGTGCTGAGATTATAGGGCATGCAACCCTACAACCCAGCTTACCGGTACATATGTTTGTATACATCATTTATATTCATTACTGGCAAGGCAACTGCTCCCTCCATAGCTCTAGAGGCACCTACTCCATCCCATTGGATCAAGTAGCTGGCTTCCTTCATAGTTTACAAAAGGAAAGGTAAGGGTCACTTAGTCTTGCAGAAGACTAGGAATGGAAGCCAGGTCTCCTAGCTTCCTGCCCATATGCTTCCACCTGATTGCTTCTCTGTTGAGCTAAGATGATAATGGCTTGAAACACCAAGGACACAAAATCAAACTTGAGGATTCTATTGACCTGGAGCTTCCCTAACAAGCCCACTTGGGACTTTGAACACAAATCCGAGCGGGCTTAGGAAACCCCAGGGTGGCTGAACAAGAAGGCAAAATACAAACTCCCAGAGGACTTCAGTCACAAAAAGTTATCAGATCCAAAGACTGATAACCAAAGCTAATTAAGAACTCATAGAAATTGGGGGGCGAGCACTTACCGTGTCTCCAATCTTCAGGCCCTCACACTTCCTCTGACCAGGGTAGGATACACCATCTTTGGGCAGGTAGCAGTGAAGAAGAGATTAAGATCTTCAGGCTGATCCCAAACAGAAAGCTCCACTTTAGACCGGATACTCTAAGCAGAGAGAGAAAATAAAATCCAAACCAAATTACACAAGGCCACAGCAGACATGCTACCACAACACTGGTTTTCTGAATATGCACTTCGATGCTTTTAACAGAGGAGGCCTCAAGCCAAGGAAGGGCCAGTGGGCTTGGTTTTCTGCCCTTCCCTCATTTTTCTTCTTGTCTTTACACCCACACACCTTCATGGTACACCTGGCTGAAGATTTCCTTTCTATAAGCTTAGACAGATTGATAATGGTCTGTCAAATGAATTTTTGTGCTTTGAGGGGTTTTGTTCTGTCTCCTGCTTGCTTCTCCAGGGCCACCTCTCACTCTCATCCTTGATCTACACACACATGCATGCAAAAACAACACACCCAAGCACATGCACAAGAGTACATGTGTGGGCACAGGACACAGCCCAGAACAACATCTTTAGCCAATGGCTATTTTCTTCTCTTCTCTGGCCCACCCACCCATCCTTATCATCCTGCAAACAAGTTCAGTAGACCCTCTCTTCAGGATTCTACCCCATCATTTTTCATATTCAAAGTCCACATTCATGAGTTTTGAAACTAACATTATGAGCGAATCCAATCTTCTGTGCAGACTATTGTTCTCAAAATTGAATAAACAAACACTAAGTCAAAATGATCCCTCAGAACAGGAAAAAAAAAAAAAAACTGAAAATACCAGGTATTGGAAGCATGTGGAGCAAACTGGGGCTCACAGATCGCTGGTTGGAGTATAAGTTGGCACAGCCTTTTAGAAAACCTCTAGATGCATCTTCTAAGGCTTTAGGCTAATCTTAGACCTAGCATTCACCAAGAAATGTATGTGCCACAAAAGACATGGAAGAGAGTGTTTAGAGTAACATAGTTTGTAGTAGCTAGAATCTGGAAGCTAATCAAAAGCCTATCAATGGTAGAATGGATTTAAAATACATTGCAGTATGTTCACATAATAGAGTACCTTACAATAATGACAATGACAAAATAAAACTACATGCAATGACATTGATGAATGTAGGACTGCCCAAAAAAGAAGCCAGACAACAAAGGCTTATAAGTCCGTACTGTTCTATTTATAGTTATGAAGACGTTTGGTCCACAGCAGACCACATATACAATGGGGGATCCCATAAGATTCTAACAAAAGTCAAGCATGTGGTATATACCCATAGTCAGTCCCAGGAGTTGGGAGGCAGGAGGATCATGAGTTTGAGGCCAGCCTGGACTATCCACCAAGACTGTGTCTCAAAAAATAAATTAAAAAAAATTTTTTTTAAAGCTACCCCTGGAAAATCTGAGGAAGATGTTACATTGGAGACTCAGGCCAAATGAACTAATTGTTTTATATTTAGGGTCATATTTTATCTAGCATGCTTTTTAAATCCTTTGGTTTAACACTAGGCACTCCCAGTAACGTCAGCACAATATACGTCCTGTGAAGAGACATGTGAACCAAGCTCAAACCCCTATGACAGCATGGCTGTCAAACAGAACAGCAGGCTAAATTGCCTCTTGCTCTCATAGGTTTTCTTTTCTTTTCTGTATTTTTTGCTGAGCATGTGGTGCTAAACTTGAATAAGTGAAATATGCAGTTTTCCCAACAGATTAACAGCTTGGTTGAAATGCTCTCTAAAACAAAAAACCAGTCTCTTTGCAACAAACTGTCTAAGTGCTTCATCAACTCTA